GGTTTAATATTGATGACTATTGTATTCAAAATACATTAATTTGCACTTCACTTTGGAACACTTGTTTCCACTTTGGCACTTCCTGAAGAGGGGGGGGGGAGGGGTTGATCGAGAAACAGGAACTACTAGGTTACCGAATACTTTCCAGACAGTGCGTGGCCCGTACGCCTTTAGTGCATAATAATAATAATAATAATAATAATAATAATAATAATAATAACAATAATAATAATAATAATAAAAGGTCAGAGAAGAGAAAGAGAAGAGAGAGAGAGAGAGAGAGAGAGAGAGAGAGGAGAGAGAGAGAGAGAGAGAGAGAGAGGAGAGAGAGAGAGAGAGAGAGAGGAGAGGAAGAGAGGAGAGAGAGAGAGAGAGAGGAGAGAGGAGAGAGGAGAGAGAGGATGAGAGAGAGAGAGAGAGAAGAGAGAGAGAGAGAGAGAGAGATGAGAGAGAGAGAGAGAGAGAGAGAGAGAGGGAGAGAGGAGAGAGAGAGAATCTCAGCCACACTTTAAGGTTTGTACACTTCTCCCCTGGGTTTAATTTGGGTAGGCCAGGAGTGTTAGGTTCATTAGGTTCCAGGAGGGGGTTAAAGCTGGGAGAGAGGTGATGGGGGAAGGGGGGAGTAATGGGTAATAGGTCATCCCAATGGGGGAATAGGACGATTGTTTAAGGGAGTTGGGAGTGTAGGATGGATGGATCATCCTTTTACATCTCCAGTAATGCTCAATATGTGTGTGTGTTGTGTGTGTGTGTGTGTGTGTGTGTGTTGTGTGTGTGTCAGTGTGTGTGTGTGTGTCAGTGTGTGTGTGTGTTCAGTGTGTGTGTGTGTGTCAGTGTGTGTGTGTGTGTGTGTGTGTGTGTGTGTCAGTGTGTGTGTGTGTGTCAGTGTGTGTGTGTGTCAGTGTGTGTGTGTGTGTGTGTGTGTGTGTGTGTGTGTGTGTGTCAGTGTGTGTGTGTGTGTGGGTGTTGTTTCAGTGTGTTGTGTGTGTGTCAGTGTTGTGTGTGTGTGTGTGTGTGTGTGTGTGTGTGTCAGTGTGTGTGTGTGTGTCAGTGTGTGTGTGTGTGTGTCAGTGTGTGTGTGTGTCAGTGTGTGTGTGTGTGTGTGTCAGTGTGTGTGCGCTCACCTATTTGTACTCACCTATTTGTGGTTGCAGGGGTCGATTCATAGCTCCTGGCCCCGCCTCTTCACTGATTGCTACTAGGTCCTCTCTATCCCTGCTCCATGAGCTTTATCATACCTCGCCTTAAAACTATGTATGGTTCCCGCCTCCACTACTTCACTTTCTAGGCTATTCCACGGCTTGACTACTCTATGACTGAAGAAATACTTCCTAACATCCCTTTGATTCATCTGAGTCTTCAACTTCCAATTGTGACCTCTCGTGTCTGTGTCCCATCTCTGGAACATCCCGTCTTTGTCCACCTCGTCTATTCCGCGCAGTATTTTATATGTCGTTATCATGTCTCCCCTGACCCTCCTGGCCTCCGTGTGTGTCAGTGTGTGTGTGCGTGTCAGTGTGTGTGTGCGTGTCAGTGTGTGTGTGCGTGTCAGTGTGTGTGCGCGTGTCAGTGTGTGTGCGCGTGTCAGTGTGTGTGCATGTCAGTGTGTGTGTGTGTGTGTGTGCGCGTCAGTGTGTGTGTGTACTCACCTAATTGTACTCACCTAATTGTGGTTGCAGGGGTCGAGACTCAGCTCCTGGCCCCGCCTCTTCACTGATCGCTACTAGGTCCTCTCCCTCTCTGCTTCCTGAGCTTTTTCATACCTCTTCTTAAAACTATGTATGGTTCCTGCCTCCACTACTTCACTTGCTAGGCTATTCAACTTCCTGACGACTCTATGACTGAAGAAATACTTCCTTACGTCCCTGTGACTCGTCTGAGTCTTCAGCTTCCAGTTGTGACCCTTGTTTCTGTGTCCTCTCTCTGGAAAAATCCTATCTGTCCACCTTGTCTATTCCCCGCAGTATCTTGTATGTCGTTATCATGGGCTCCCCTGACCCTTCTGTCCTCCCGTGTAGTCGTCCGATTTCCTTTAACCTTTCCTCGTTACGACATTCCCTGAGCTCTGGGATAGCCTTGTTGCAAACCTTTGTACTTTCTCTAACTTCTTGACGTGCTAGACCAGGTGGGGGGTTCCAGACTGGTGCTGCATACTCCAGTATGAGCCTAAAAATACACAGTGTACGTGTCTTGAACGTTCCTTATTAAGGTATCGGAACGCTATTCTCAGGTTTTCCAGGGGGCCCGTATGCTGCGCAGTTATTTGGTTGTGTGTGGTGTGTGGTGTGTGTGTGTGTGTGTGTGTGTGTGTGTGTGTTGTGTGTGTGTGTGTGTGTGTGTGTGTGTGGTGTGTGTGTGTGTGTGTACTACCTAGTTGTACTCACCTAGTTGAGGTTGCGGGGGTCGAGTTCCGAGCCCCTGGCCCCGCCTTTTCACTGATCGCTACTAGGTCACTCTCCTGAGCCGTGAGCTTTATCATACCTTGCTTAAAGCTATGTATGGATCCTGCCTCCACTACATCGCTTTCCAAACTATTCCACTTATGACTACTCTGTGGCTGAAGAAATACTTCCTAACATCCCTGTGATTCATCTGTGTCTTCAGCTTCCAACTGTGTCCCCTTGTTACTGTGTCCAATCTCTGGAAAATCTGGGCTTGTCCACCTTGTCATTCCTCTCAGTATTTTTGTATGTCGTTATCGTCCCCCCCCCATCTCTCCTGTCCTCCAGTGTGTTTAGGTTGATTTCCCCTTAACCTCTCCTCGTAGGACATACCTCTTAGCTCTGGGACTAGTCTTGTTGCAAACCTTTGCAACTTTCTCTAGTTTCTTCACGTGCTTGGCTAGGTGTGGGTTCCAAACTGGTGCCGCCTACTCCAATATGGGCCTAAGTACACGGTGTACAGGGCCCTGAATATTCCTTTTTAAAAATTTGTCGGAATGCTGTTTTTGAGGTTTGCTAGGCGCCCATATGCTGCAGCAGTTATTTGGTTGATGTGCGCTTCAGAGATGTGCCTGGTGTTATACTCACCCCAAGATCTTTTTCCTTGAGTGAGGTTTGTGTCTTGACCCCCTAGACTGTACCCCGTCTGCGGCCTTCTTTGCCCTTCCCAATTTTCCCTGACTTTGCACTTGGTGGGATTGAACTCCAGGAGCCAATTGCTGGACCAGGTCTGCAGCTGTCCAGATCCCTTTGTAGTTTCGCTGGTCTTCGATCGGTGAATTCTTCTCATCAACTTCACGTCATCTGCAAACAGGGCCCACCTCAAAAGTCTTATTCCTTCCCGTCATGTCGTTCAAAAATTACCAGAAACAGCACTGGTCCTGGACCTGACCCCTGCGGGACCCGCTGGTCACAGGTGCCCACTCTACACCTCGCCACGTACCATGACTCGCTGCTGTCTTCCTGACAAGTATTCCCCTGGATCCATTTAGTCCCTTCCTGTTTCCCTGCTTGGTCCTCCAGTTTTTGCACCAATCTCTTGTGTGGAACTGTGTCAAACGCCTTCTTGCAGTCCAAGAAATGCAATCCACCCACCCCTCTCTCTCTTGTCTTACTGCTGTCACCATGTCACAGAAAATCCAGTAGGTTTGTGACAAGGATTTCCCGTCCCTGAAACCATGTTGGCTGCTGTTGATGAGATCGTTCCTTTCTAGGTGTTCCACCACTCTTCTCCTGATAATCTTCTCCATGATTTTGCATGCTATACATGTCAGTGACACTGGTCTGTAGTTTATTGCTTCATGTCTGTCTCCTTCTTTAAAGATTGGGAGTACATTTGCTGTCTTCCATGCCTCAGGCAATCTCCCTGTTTCGATAGATGTATTGAATATTGTTGTTAGGGGTACACATAGCACCTCTGCTCCCTCTCTCAATACCCATGGGGTGTGTGTGTGGGTGTGTGTGTGGGTGGGTGTGTGGGTGGGTGTGTGGGTGTGTGCGTGGGTGGGTGTGTGTGCACTCACCTAGTTGTGGTTGTGGATGCAGGGGTCGAGTCACAGCTCCTGGCCCCGCCTCTTCACTGGTCGCTACTAGGTAACTCTTCCTGCTCCATGAACTTTACCATACCTCTTCTTAAAGCTATGTATGGATCCTGCCTCCAGTACATCACTTCCCAGACTATTTCACTTCCTGACAACTCTGTGACTGAAGAAATACTCAACAACGTCCCTGTGATTCATCGGAGATTTCAAATTCCAACTGTGACTCCTTGTTGCTGTGTCCCATCTCTGTAACTGTGTGTGTGTGTGTGTGTGTGTGTGTGTGTGTGTGTGTGTGTGTGTGTGTGTGTGTGTGTGTGTGTGTGTGTGTGTGTGTGTGTGCGCGCTCAAAATGTAGAGCTGGTGGTAGCTGTGGTGGTGTAGTAGTAGTAGTAGTTAGTAGTAGTAGTGGTGGTGGTGGTGGTGGTGTGGTGGTGGTGGTGGCGGTAGTAGTAGTGGTGGTAGTGGTGATAATAGTAGTAGTACGGTAGTTATGGTGGTGGTTGTAGCAGCAGTAATAGTAGGAGTAGCTGTAGCAGCAGTAAGAACAACAGCAGTAATAGTAGTAGTAGTAGTAACAGTAGCAATAACAACAGTAATATTTGTAGTAATAGTAGTAGCAACAACAGTAATAGTCGTAGTAGTAGTAGTAGCAATAACAACAGTAATGGTCGTAGTAACAGTAGCATCAGCAGCAACAATAGCAGCAGCAGTAGCAGTCGTAGTAGTAATAGTATCAACAGCAGTAGCAGTAACAGTCGTAGTAGTAGTAGTAATAGTATCAACAGCAGTAGCAGTAACAGTCGTAGTAGTAATAGTATCAACAGCAGTAGCAGTAACAGTCGTAGTAGTAATAGTATCAACAGCAGTAGCAGTAACAGTCGTAGTAGTAATAGTATCAACAGCAGTAGCAGTAACAGTCGTAGTAGTAATAGTATCAACAACAGTAGCAGTAACAGTCGTAGTAGTAATAGTATCAACAGCAGTAGCAGTAACAGCAACATCCGGCTGCAACACTCACGAACACATTATCCCATGATTTGTTATTCAAGCCTGGATGCTGCCGGCTAGTCAGATGCATCTTCGTTATGCCGAGGCTGCAACAGATACTGCAACTGTTTTTATCCTGCATCAGCAAGTGCCTCTCTCAGTGTTGCAACTGTTTTCGTGCTGCATCAAAAAATGCCTCTCACATTGCTGCAACTGT